CTCTGAGGATATTGGAAAGAACCTTGTGAATTCAATTGGACAAAACTTTTCTCGCAATCTTATAATCAAGGTTCGAAAGTGAGATGGGCCAACAGTTTTTGAGCGACAAAGGATCATCTTTCTTGAGCAATAAATACACGATTCTTCGATAAATCATGTTCAAGGAGACCCCAAAAATGGCAATAAAACTCGGCCGGAAGGCCATCCGTTCCTGGTGATTTACATGATTCCATTTGTGAAAGAGCGGTATGACATTCAACAAGTCATTTCCCCTTCGCAAAGTGTCTCGTCTTTGGATGACAGAGTGGAATTGAGCTGTTCCAAGACCCAGTCTTAACTCTCAAGGTCAGTCGGTTCCTTAGTATAACGAGTTTTCTAAAAAGCATTGCATTCTTTCAGAATGCCCCGGGAGGTTTTAACCGTAGTGTTCCCACCAATGTGTAATTTGTGGATCATGTTGCATGACTGGCATGAGTTTTTGAGCTGGTAGAAATACTGCGTCAGTTCTTCACTATGGAGAATAGTACCCTCAATCCCTTCATCGTCTATTGCCCGTAGTAGATCCTTAATCTCGAGCAGCCTGCGACAATGATCAGCATTTTTCAGATCAGCCTGTGATTAAAGGTTGCAAAATTCCCATTGGAGTGCAGCTCTCTTGCACTTTGATTGTTCCTGGCAGTGATGCTGTGGGCTATGGCAATTTCTTTTAAGTTGTAATTTCCCTGCATCCTACCAAACACATGGATCAGTGGATACATGTTTTTCTAAGCCATTAACACCAGAAATTATTCACTTATGAACAGAAATCTTCTGATTTTAATAGCTGCATGTTAAATTTCCAGACGCCTCAACCGCGGGAATTTGAATGCCACAAGTGTAATTTAATGGACACCATATGGTGGTCAGAGGACGAAAAGGGATCACACGCACAGTCACGCACCTGTGAACTCTGCATGCTCAGAGTGTAAAAGTGGTCCAAACAGCAACCAACCAAGTATAAGCCATTAAACCGTGTAAATAATTTTCAAGACATAATCTTCATGCAGAAGACATCCTTGAGAGAAAGTGGTCCCACAAATGCATGCAACTGCATGATTCCCTTATCTGCAACGGTGGCATCACCTCCCCATTTATCCAGACGGCTGTCTGGGATGCAATTGAAATCGCCTGTCATAACTGTCAACATTGTAAAATGCAAGATGCCACAAATTACTGATAAATGTCTTGTGTTTGGAATGTTTGCTCGGCACATAAACATTGATAAGTTGAAAGACTTGGTTGTTGTGTTAAACTTTGGCCGTGAGAACACGGCCGTCCACGTCGATATTCTGGCTAAGGATTTCTACTAGATGGTGCCTTGGAGGGCTCCCCACATGGTGTTTTCTTTAGTGTTTCCTAGCTTTCTCATTGGCAGTCACCATGTTTAAATTGGAGGAAATATCCCC